TTAATTTTATTCATCAGTTTATTCATTTATCAAACTAAAGTTCCATTATTTATCTATTCCTAAACTACCTTCTGCTATGCTTTGTCACAAATAAAACATAAATGTTAACAGATGACTTTAAAAAAAATGTCACAGAGAACTATTTATACTTTTTTGTTTATATATATTATCACTTACTAATGACTGGCCAGGATAAAACAGATAAACTTAATATTTATAATGTTTCTCCAATCAGTACAATGCTTACCATTAAGTCTCTTCAATAGCTGATCCACAGGAACATGAAGAACTTCAATAAACTCTGTCAAAAAGAAAACATTTCTGACAAAAATGATTTCAAATAGGAAACTAACAACATAATAATTACAGGACATTAAATGCTTATATAAAAAACAATTTTTTGATATACTTAGCTTTAAAACCTTAGATTTTAGCCAATCAAAGAGAATTTTGTTATAAAACTCAGAATATTACAAATTGTTAACAGAAAAGTCCTAGAATCAAATTACTTTTACATGCAACAATCAGTAAGCCTAAGACATGTGGATGCTTGCAGTATATTTCTAAAAAATATGGGTAAGAAAAATATTTTTTTTTATGAGAATGGTTTGCTACTTACAAAATTGGAAAGTTACTGATGTTAAGGTGAAAAATATCATTAATGTTATTACTTGTAAGGAATAGGTGAGCTATGCTAAAACTTTCTCACCACAGGAAAAGTAAGCAAGAACTGCTCATGTGTAAAAATTAAATTAAATACACCATATTGGTCCTAAATTTGGTTTTTAAAAACAAGAGTAAACAAAATACATAAATTATGCCAAATCAATCTCAAGTAACAAAGAGACAGAAAAGTGCAGTCGAGGCAGTCAACTGTCAGTAATTTCCTTTGCGAGCCAATAAAAATTTAGATCATTCATGACATGAATTTGTGGCGTATTCATAGAATAATTATTGGTGAAAATCAGTTAGATTAAAAACCAGCATGTTTTGGTAACACTACATTCCAACAATGGCTTTTATGTCATGTTGCTTAGCAACCTAATATTGCCGTTAGTCTATGTACTGACAGTATAAAATGAAATGTATAAACAACAAAACAGGAAAAATATTTGTTTATTTCCTAATTTAGATTCTCCATTGTTTAAATAGGTTTGTTTTTCATTAACAGCGTTGGCAATATAACAGAAAATAGCTTAATTCAGAAACGATTTAAGTTTAAAATTGAATCAATATTATTACTTT